CCGCCGCCGCTGCCGCCGCGGCCGCGGCGCGGGGACGCCGGACGCGACGAGCGCTGGCGCTCCGCCTCGCCGCCGCGCGCGCGGCCGCCGCCGCTCTCGTGCGCCGCCCACCCCCGACGGCTCCTGCTCCTGCTGCGGCTGCGCTCGCGGCTGAGCGGGCGCCGTGCGCGGCTGCGCTCCCCGGGGCTGCTGCTCCTCCGGCTCCTGCTCCTGCTCCTGCTCCGCCGCCTGCTGCGGCTGCGGCTGCGGCTGCGGCTGCGGCTGCGGCTCCTGCTATCACTACTCCAGCTCCTGCGCATGCCGCTGCCCCCGCTCGACGAGCGGCTGCTGCTCCTGCTCCTACCGCCCCTGCCGCGGCCACGGCTGCTGCTGCGGCTGCGCACCCGCGCGCCGGCGGCCGGGGCGGGCCCGTCGGCGGCGTGCGGGGGCGCCTCTTCCGCCGGCGGGGCGCCGACCGGCGCGGCCGACCCAGGCGGGGCCTCATCCAGAGCCTGCGCGACTGCTTCTGAGGGCGCCAGCGCAGCTGCCACCATGTGCTGCGCCATCGCGGCCGCCACCGCCGCGGCGGCGGGCCAGGGGGCGCCGGGCGCGGCGGGCTGCGGGGCGGGCGCCGTCGGCGATGCTGCAGGGAGAGGGGGCTTCTTGAAGGGCGAGGACACGTGCAGCGGCGCCCGGGCCGCCTTGGGAGCAGGCAGCGGCGACGGGACCAACGGCAGCGGCGCGGGGGCCGCCGGCTGCGGCGATGGGGCCGCTGGGTGCGGAGACGGGGCCGCCGCAGGCGGCATCACCGGGGCAACGGGCGGCGCGGCGGCCGATGACGGCTGGGGCAATGGTGGCGCCGCCGTCGCCGCCGCCGCTGCAGCTGCTGCGGCTGCCGCCGCTGCCGGAGCAGCCTGCTCAGCGGGCTCCGAGGCCATGACCCACCCACCGGCCGCCGGACCGCCTGCGGCAGCCTGCCACGGCGGCGGCGAGCGCCCCTCCGCTGCGCCATCCCCAGCCCCGGCCGTGGCCCTGGCGGCGGCCGCGTCTTTGATCGCGCCGCCGGCCGCTGCGCGGGGCGGGGTCCCCGCGGTCGCCGCGCTCAGGGCTTGCCCCGCCGCCGCCCTCCTCTGCATCAGGCTACCCGTCAGCTTGATCTGGTTTGAGGGCACCACGGTCACCCTTACCTGCACCTTAGGTCCCACCGACCGCGCCGGCGCGCCGCTCGAGGCCCCCGCGCCGCCTTGCAGCGCCGCCCCCGCCGCGGCCCACTGCTGAAGCTGCTGCAGCTGCTGCTGCTCTGCGGCTGCCGCTGCGCTGCTGCTGCTTTCCGCCAGGCGCAGCGCTGCAGCCTTTGCGGCCGCGACCTTCGCGGCCTCCGCCAACGAATCAGGTGCGCGCGGCCCCGCCGCTCCAGCCCCGCCCTGCGCAGTCCCCTCTGACGCCCGCATCGGCAATGCCGGCGGCGGCTCAGGTGGCAGCGGCGGTTGCGCAGGCTCGTCCTTAGGCAGCGGCGGCGGCGGCGGCGCGGCAGGGCGTTGCACGTGCGCCTCCGCGCTGTCGCCGCCAGGCCCGCTCAACTGGCCGGGGTGCGGCATGTTGTGGGCCGCTTCCGCGTAGGGCGTCCCATGGCTGCTGTCGCGCTCGGCACCACGCGCGGGGGCGTGCGGGCCAGGATGCTCGGGGTGGCAGCGGAAGTGATGGGGGTTCGCCGCTGCATACTGCGGCGCCTGGTATGTGTAACCCATGCCATGCACCTGGTGTGGGTGCTGGTGGTAGTCCTGCTGATCGTAGGGGATGTTCCCATAACGTGGAGGCGGTGGCATGGGTGGCCACGGGGCGCCGCCCTGGTCGGGCGGCCAGTAGCCGTTCAAGTGGGCGCCGCCTGGCATTGGCGGCGGCGGGCCCCACGACAGCGGCGGCCTCCTGGAGTCCCAGTCAACAGGCCCCTGGCCGCCGCCGCGTGCATGGCTCCAGGCTTCCCTCGGATGTGGGCGGGGGTCGTTGGGGGGCCTGCGGCCGCCGCGAAAGCCACGGCCCCCGCTGTTGCCACGATCCTCCTTGTCGTTCTGCGCGCGAGGCGCGGGCCGGCTGCTGGCGCCACCCGGGTGTTGTGGGCCTGAGCCCGTGGACATTGCGCCAGCACGAGGCCGCGGAGGCCGAGGCCGCGGAGGCCGCGGCGAGTTCCGCTGCTGTTGGGCGCGTGCGCCAAAGCGGCGCGTGCTTCGCGCCCACGCGTCTCAGCCCAGGATGCTGCTCAGCTGCGGCTGACGCCGCAGCTCCAGCTGACTTGCCACCTAGGAGCGCTATTGCTGATCTTTCGGTCGCATAGAGCCCCCATAGGGACCACGAAGCCAGATCAGAGGTGATGTTGCATTCCTGGCGAGCGAGACTCTGTTGCTGGATCTGAAAGTATTCAATGTGGCTTGAGAACCGCTGTAAGAAGGCGTGCACGACGATCCAACAATAGCACAGGCTCGTGTTGAGAGTCACCCGGCCGCGCATGCAACTCTCTACAGGGCGCGCATGCAACTCCATCGAGGCACTGATGAGCACACGGTAGTTTCAATTGAATCGCCCTTCAGGACCTTCGCCCTACCTACTGGCCTGTGACGGCTCAAGCCCAGCGATCTTTTCGATGCAGGCGCACTGCAGCTGCAGGCCCATCGTGGGCACTAGCAGCATCAACAGGAGAATAGTGGTATCGTGCAGGGCGAGCGGGAGTAGCAATGGAGCGGGCAGGTGCGCGTGTCTGTCGACAGCACCCGGCGCATGGACCTTAGTGGGCCTGGCAGCGTGGGGCTGCGGTGCAATGTATATCATTGAAAGTTCAAGAACCATAATCGATGCTGCTTATGCACGGCATCTGCCACGGCTCGTCGTCCCGCCCCGCGCCGCCTGCGCTCGGACGCTGGCTGCGTCGCCGCGCTGCGACCGCTGCGGCCCACCAGCCCTGCCGGTCCCCCGGTCCCGCCGGCCCCACGCACCCCGCCGCCCTTCCCGCCCTCGCAGGCCCGTAATGCTGGAGGTGAAGGGCCTCGAGGCCAAGATTGTCGCGACCGGGCAGCAGATCCTCAACGGCGTCGACCTCACCGTGCGCGAGGGCGAGGTACACGCCATCATGGGCAAGAACGGCAGCGGCAAGAGCACCCTCAGCAAGGTGCTCGTCGGCCACCCTGACTACGAGGTCACCGCCGGCAGCGCCACGTTCAGGGGCCAGGACCTCTTTGCCCTGGAGCCCGAGGAGCGCTCCCACAAGGGCCTCTTCCTGTCCTTCCAGTCGCCGATTGAGATCCCGGGCGTGTCCAACGTGGACTTCCTGCGGATGGCTTGCAACGCGCGGCGGAAGTCCAAGGGGCAGCCGGAGCTGGACCCCCTGGAGTTCTACGCTCACGTGGTGCCGAAGGTGCGCGCCCGCTCCCGCCACAGGGGCAACGGGGGGCCAGCCGCGGCGAGTGCGCCGGAGCGGCTACGGCGCTGGGCCGCCTGCGGGCGGCCCTGCGCGTCGAGCCCGCGAGCGCGTGGGTGCCGGCAGGCTGAGGCCGGTCGTGCAGCGTGTCGTGCATGGCAGCGGCTCTGGGGTCCTCCGTGCGATCAGCGTGATGTCATCACCCTCTGGCTGACCCTCACAACCTGGTGCCCCCCAACCCCCCCAATCCCTCGCCTGCCCGTCCGGGCCCCCACCACCAAGCCCCTCCCACCCTCCCAC